TGAGGGCTGGTCCTGGCCAGGAAATCCACCTATAACATTAAACAGCTTCAATACATCTTTCAATGTTTTGTTTTACTTGTTAAAACCACTCAGACTTTGGTTTCTATCGATCACTTTTTATAATCTATATACTAGATATATAGATGTGCCAGGCAATAGGCATTCTGGTGAAATTACTATACGCTATGACTTTTTTTGAAAAAACTGCTTATGATCTTATAAAAACATGTAAAACTTTTGCCACTAAAATTAAAGAAAATGCAAGAAATTAATTTAGAGGCCAAATATCCTTTTTACCTCTCATTCTACTTCCAATCACTGAATCACTTGATAATTTCCTCTGAGAATTCTATTTTCTTGACTTCCATTATTATCTAATTTCCTGAATCTTCTCCCAACAACTTCAAATATCCCTTCTGGATTTCATTCACAGCATCTTTTCTTTCATTTAAATTGCAGTGTCCCAGAATTACACACTCAGCTCTCCAGTTATGTGTGGGTGACCTTATTGTTCACATCTATTTCCCAGATTTTCAGTCCACATCTTGTACAATGGAAAAGTCCAGACAGATTTTTTCACTGGACTATTGGATGCCTCCATCTGGATGCTCTCAAATTCAACATGGTCAAAAAGTGCATATATTTTTGTTTCTCCCCTAAAGTCTACTCATCTTTATTATGGGGGCCAGTTGTCCAAGCTAAAAACTTTGGTGACATCCTTGATTATTTCCTTTCATCTACTTTCCCACAACCTATAGGTTAAGAAATCTTGTTAATTTACCTCCCAAATATTTCTCAAAACTCCCTTTTTATCTATTCTCTCTGATACTATTTTGCTAAGAATTCCATCATCTATCATTTAGATCAGTTATTCTCAAACCCGAGTATGAAAAGAGAACCACCTGGAAAGCTTAATTAAATTCCTGATCTTAATTCTTCAAGATAGTCTGATGAACTTAATCTGAGAATCCCACTCTGAGAAGCTCTTTTGATTATTGCAACAACCTTCTAACTGCATTGCTGTGAATGTAACTATTTTTATTTCATTTGTTTACTTGCTTGAAAACTTCCAAAGGGTTACCACTACCTACAGGGTAAACTACAAACTCCTTTACATGCCATGCCATGCTTTCAAATGGCAGCTAACCCCTTCAACCCCATTTCTCTATTCCCCAAATAAGCCATCTGTCTAAAGAAAATGTCTCTGGAGAGAGTTCTTTCCTCCTACTTCTTAGTTGAACCTCATAATAACATAATATTCTATTACCTACTGATCATTAGAGGGTGCTTCTAGGTTCTAGGCTCAGTGCTAAATTCTTACCTGCATTATTTCATTTAATTCATGTTACAGCTCTATGAAGTAAGTGGCATTATTATTGCAATTTTACAGCTCAGGTGATCTGAGGGTCGAAGAAATAACTTGTCCATGATCATGTAGCTATTAAGTGCTGGAGTGGGCCTCTAAATCAGACTACTAGACTGCACCTCTGGTTACAGGCTTGCTGCATCTCTAACATATGAGCTCCTCAAAGGCCTCTGAAAGGTGGGCAGGGTACTCACTCCCAACACCAAACTTTCCATTAAGTGAGTTCTCAACTTGTACAGTTGACTTACTGAATGAATGAATAACTATAAGGGGCAAAGGAAAAAAAGAAAGACGTCATCATGTTTATTAGCCTCTATCTCAAAATGTGATTTCATTTTCAGGTAGATATTTTCTTTACTAATAAAACATCCTTTAAAACCACCATTCTAAGAAGCATTTAAAACTCGTTCTATAATTTTACTTGAGACTACTATTAAGATAATTGTAGATTCACATGCAGTAGTGAGAAATAATCCAGAGAAATCTCACATACCCCTTATTGAGTTTCCCTGAAAAGTAACATCTTGAAAAAACAGTTGTACAGTTTTACAATCATGATGTCAACAATAACACTGGCAAGATGGAGAACTTCCCATCGCCACAAAGATCACTCATGGCCCGTGTACAACTACAAGTGAGTCCTCCCTGTTCATTTCTCATTTGTTCTCCATTTCCATAATTTTGCCATTTAAAGAATGCTACATAAATAGAATAATTTGAAACCTTTCACAACTGCTCTTTTTGCAGAGTTCTTTACATGTTCTAATTTACATGTAAAATATGTAATTTGCAACTATTTTCTTCTAGTCTGTAACTTATCTTTTCACTTGCTTTAAAATAGAAAAAGTTTTAAATTTTGATAAGGTCTTATTTGTCAACTTTTTCTTTTATGGATCACGGTGTTTTTTGGGGGGGAGGGGGGAGGTCAAGACTAAAAACTCTACCTAGCCCTTTATCCTGAAGATGTTCTTTTATATTTTTTCTTAAAATGTTATAATTTTATATTTTACATTTAAGCCCATGGTCCATTTTGTTAATTTTTGTATCATATGTGATGTTGAGTTCAACTAATATTTTATACAATTCAAATAAGGTTTTCAAAGACTGTGTGTAAAAGCCTCTTTTCATATCATAACCTAGCCTATTCTTTACTCTGCATTTGGTTATAGTTTCCAGATCCCTCATTGTTGGTTTAGGTACCATCTTGATGTCTAACCTCTGAGGGGAACATTTTTAACAATGAGTCAATATGTGGGCAGTTAGAGTTTTTAGTAGACCTAATATTTCCTGGCCCTCAGTCCCTGAATGTCTTTGTCATTCTTTGACCATCATTTATACCCTCACTTGTCTTCATCCTTCTGAACTAAAGTGCCCTAAACAGAACATTCTACTATATCATGGGGTGATCTCTGCCTTTTTCTCTGAGCGCACAGCCCTGGAATAACATATTTTATCACTTTTTTGGCAAGGAGTTCACAGGTCTCTCCTAAATAAAAGCGACGTAGTGAGTCAAGGGCAGAGAATCTAAGAACTCCATGACTTGCTGAATTTCTAGACAATGCTGTACTGAAACCTTTTCTTTGGCATTCACTTTAATTAATAGCAAAGGGGTCTATGTTTAGATATGGAAAATTCCTGAACCCCAGAAATCTTAGATGTGGACAGGGGGTTCCTAGTATCAAAGCCTAGCATTAAAAATCAGTGTGATATTTTGTATTACTACATTCAGATTATGTCCAAATGCCTGACAAATGTCAGTCCGGAAAATTCCCACACTTAGCATATTTTTAAATATTTTCTGGAATGAGAAAATTAATCTTTTACCTTCAAGTCATCTAATTCAAGACACCCTGGACATGGCCATCAACAATGACAAATTTAGTCCAGAAAACATGGCAAGCTGGAACCAAGTTTTGACATAATAAAGGGTCTGCTACTCCAACATCTCATTATATTATAGGGCTGATATGATTAGAGAGGAGACATTGGCATTTCTGTGGATGAAGCTTTTCCTCACCCCTAATATCCTGAACATAGATGAATGGTGAGAATAAAAGATATACTATTACAACCTGCTTTTAATTCTAATTCACTGTTACTGTTCATTTATGTCACTATTTGTCATTCCTTCCTTTAAGCCCTAATGGCCACTCCATCAGGTAAAAGCTGTGCCACCTCTTATTAATGCAGTTATCCTTTTACCCTTCATGTTATCATGAAACTTCTAGAGTAGTTTCCCCACTGTGCTTTGCTGAGTATTTGCAATCCAAGGAAATATTAACAAATCTTCCATGAAGCATGGCCTATCTTCAAGTAAGTTTGGGAAATACCACATACCACCTCTCTTCTCCAAAGTTCATTAAAAGGCTGGAGAAGTTCTATAATAAAGAGAGCTGTTTGATTCTGTTTCTTAAACTTATTTTGACCATAAAGTATTTTGTATGTGCGTCTCACCTAAAAGCCTCTCCAGAACACCAGTATCTGGAATACTGTTATGGGACAGCCTATGCAAGATGGTTCCATTTTGTCCTTGCTACTGTAATTAAATTTGCAATATCAGTGTATACCAGCAATCTCCAAAAAGTAAAATCTAGTTATTGATCTTTGTTTCCTTCAATGGATATTTCTTTTGACTTTTCCAGTTGGCTTACACAATCAATAACAGACACAATTTCAAACTCCTTCCTGGGATTTCATAATTCTTTATCATTGTTATACACTAGGTATCTCAGCTTCCTTACGCTTACCATGCCCAGACTTCTTAGCCTGGCACGCAGAGACCTACACCATCCAGACCCAAGCTCCTTTTCTATCTGTAGCTCTTTCTAATCACATCCACAAATCTTAATTCTCTATTCAGGCTGAGCCACACACCATTCCACCAAAATACCTGGTGCATTTGTATCTCAGTGTGTGTGTTCATGCTGCCCTTCTTGACAAGGTCCCCATTCCCTTCTTCTGTTGCTTAATCTCACAAATCCTGAAAGCTGACCCAGTCTTCTCTCATCATTTTGTCAATGTTTCCCCCCATCTAGTCTGTTAACTCTACACAATAGCCATATGTGTTTATAATTACTAAATATCCAGTTTAGCTCAGTACCTAGTAATTCTTAGATGCTCAATAGAAAGATGTTGGATTAAATGTAAATTCTGAAATTTTGTAGTACACATATTTCATTGCCTTACATCTCATTTTGTATTAGTGTGTATTGCTTATGTCAATAGTTATCATTTGGTTTGTGCACTGCATTCATCATCTGTATATGCCAAGCTCTTCAAGTGCAAACTTTGGGAATTATATGAATTGATAACACCCTGAGCAACTAGGACAAGGGCTTATATATAATAGGTGCTGACTAGTTAATTCCAGAAACAGCAAAAGTCTCTTATCTCCCACGAAGCTTTTCTAAGCCATGGTCAATATTAAGCTTTGTTTCCTGACCCCTTCCTAGCAATTACTGTCTCTACAATTCACCTTGGCTCATATTTCTAGATTTGTTTCCTATGTGATCAATTTTCTTCTATAAAGCCTGTGAATTCTTAAAGGGTGAAAAATCTGTTTCCATGAAGCTTTGTAGCCCAAACACATGAGAACAGAATAGGAATTGGTTAAATTTAAATGGAAAGAAGTTGACATGGTCATACTACATTATACTTTATTGTTATTGACATTTATGATACAATGTTACTATTCTAGTCTTTTATGTAAACAAAAATAAATGATATAAAATACATAACACACTTTGATCATTTTAACATACACAAAATGCTGAGTGATTGAACCTATGTTACAAGTATATTTTACAAAGTAAAGAATAGACTATTTTAATAACACCTTCAGATGAAATTTGCCATTATACATTGGATGTTATACAATGTTAAATATGGATATATTCAAAAGAATTACTATTTTAGAACTAATTTTACTATTTAAAATAATGAATACTGTGTAAATGAATACTTACAAAAATATTTTTTAAGTAAAAGCTATTTTCTACTCGTTTACTTGGCAGTAACAAAAATATATATTCACCTGAAACTCTAATAAATTTGCTTGAAGCATTAGGTATTCAAATTTAAATGCATGTTTTCTAAAGCATTTTATCAACTTAGTGTTCTTGACTTAATACAGTATATATACCTCCATGATATTAGAATAGGTTTGCAATACAAATAATGTTATTTCAAGTAAAAGACACAGGCAATCAACATATCCAATATATAAATGAGGCCACGGGCTGTGCCTTGCTACACAGTGAACATTTGTTGAGTGAATACACAAGTGGATGGCATTTATTCACTTATTTGCACCCAAATTTAACTATCCAAAGATTTCTATTTCTAGTAGAAATCTCATTTAAAAACTCAACACTTTTATTTAATCGGTATTTCTTCTGGATAACAAAGTTAGGTAAATTGATTCCAAATTGAGTAGCAAACTAATGTTAGGAATCAAAAAAAGCTCTATCAGGTGTGCTTACTGTATACGGAGACAGCTCTGATGTCTACAAAACAGACATTCAATATATTGAACAACTCTATATATCAATCTTCATACAAAACAGATATAAGAATCTCATTTTTATAATGTGTTATAAAAAAAGTAGTAAATATAAAGATATATATCTCTATTTTAGTAGACTTCAGGGGTCTCTTCTCAGTGAGTGAGGCCAAGAGTGAAGGAAGCCACGTGTCTATGTAACAAGCTAGAGGACGCACAGGCCATACTGAAAGGTCTTCCACGCATGTGCAACTTGGCAATACGAATGCTGAGATCACTGTTCAAGGCAGCTTTGAAGCAGTAAAATTTTTCTAAAACCAAAGTCTAACAACAGTTATGGAACTGCAGCACCTAAGACTGTGGCCACTATACTGAAGGAATCAGCCTGAGCCCATTCTTGGTCCAGGCTTCCTTTGCAACTTTTCCTGACCACTTCAGCTTCATGCAGGGTGAAATTTTCTGAGGCTCATCACTAAAACCCAAAAAGCTTGGTAGGGTACAGAATATTTTTCTTAATCAAATTCAGATCATCCTAAATCATTTCAAAAGCTTTTGCCTTTATACTTAAGCAGAACAACTAACCATTCAGAAAACTGGTTAATATATTTACATGTAACTGAAATAACTACTATGGCTTTGAGAAAGTAATTAAACTATAATTTAGTACAATAATTCACTTAAAAATATGTCTCTAAAAGTTAAACAGTTTACAAAAGTTCAGAAACAATTTAGTCACATACTAAAGGTTAGTTTCAGTATTAGTAAACACCATTACTGAAGAAATTCTAAAAAATGACCTTAAGTAAAATGTAAAGTAAGATGACTTGAAATAAGGTTATTTATTTTAAATTCCAATATTGTTTTTTCAAAAACACAAGTGAATAAATATATGTGCTAGAATCTGCTATATAGTGAAAGACCTACATGAACTAATGGGAGAACACTTTAGTATTATAAGTACCAATATATTATTTTCAAATAGATGGAGTAACTAACCCTCAACTGAATGCTTCCATGTCAATAAATATTATTTTTCCTATGTGCCCAAAGGGTGGAAAGTAGTTTGTTTTCTTAAATTAGCTAACATGCCCCTCAGGATTTATTTACCCATCCATTTTCTTGGTTTTTACAGTTAGTGCCAAGGTCAATTTTATTTCATTCTAAATTTACTACAAAATTTAAATGTATAGAGTTAGAACCAATGTCATTATAATATCATATACATTGACCCTTTAACAACATTGGGGGGGGCTATAGGAATGCAGATACCTCCTTCACCTCCCAGTCAAAAATCCCCATATAACTTTTGACTCTCCCCAAATTTAACTATTAATAGCCTTACTGAGAACATAAACAGTTTATTAATGCACACTTTGTATGTTATATGTATCATATACTGTATTTACAATAAAGTAGGCTAGAGAAAATAAAATGTTATTAAGAAAGTCATAAGGAAGAAAACATACATTTACAGCACTATACTCACTTACTGAAAAAAAATCCATGTGTCAGTAGACCTATGCAGTAAAAGCCTGTGCTGTTCAAGGGTCAACTACATATTATAGTATCAAGAATTTAAAGTAATTTTAAATTGAACTTTGTTGCTGAAGAAAAGCGGTCACTAAATCTAAGCCACTAGAATAATGTTATTTAAAGAGACAGAAAATAGTATGAAACTTCTAAGACTGGGATACTGGCTCACACAATCAAGTTTATACTTTAAAGTCATCATTACATACACAGTGGTGCCTCGGTTTTCGAACATCTCCATTGATGACCACTTCGGTTTATGAACGCCGTCAACCGGCAGGAAATGCTTCGGTTTTCGAACAGGCCTCGGAAGTCGAACACGTCACGAGGCTTCCGCTGAAGGCAAGATCCTGAAGCCCAGCTGTCGGCTGGTGATCCCTCGGTTTCCGAACGTTTCAGAACCCGAACAGTCTCCGGAACGGATTGCATCCGAAAACCGAGGGACCGCTATGCTACAATATAAGGCAAAATAGTACAAAAGTTTCCTTTCTTCCAATTCTTTTTCCCTTGTTAAATAGTAGCGGGAATATATGTAAAATTCTAGTCTCCTAAAATTGCTCATACTTCTAATATTATATTAAATTTTGTAATGCGTGAAATTAGAAATCTTTGTAAGATAAAATATTTAAGGTGTATTGACTGGGAGTTACTAGTTAACACGCACTTTTGAATCTGGTCCCCAGTTAAGAAGCATATTTTCTATGCATGGCCTCCCTTTTTAGGTGGTGAGAGGCAGATGTCCAAACCCAGAACTTGGAAGACTTGTTGGCAGGTGTTAGCAACGCTTAAAGGTACACTAGTCACAGAGGAGTATATGAGCATTTATGTAAACCTGTTCTAAAAACTCAAGGCCAGTTAACTGTCCACTGTCACTCAGAGGTATACCATAGCATTGAAAAATTGTTTTTATTCATTCATTAGACATTTTTTACTGTTACCACTGCTTTGGAACCATAGTCAAATTTTATATGATGTACTATTCCAGACTTTAAAAATATACCTAGTTTTTTCAAACTGCAACAGCATTGGGTTACCTGAAAATGTGATGTGTATTCAGAATGGTAAAAGTCCCGGCAATCCTAAGATTTTTACATGTTAAAGGCATTTTACATATTTCCATTCAGTTTTTCTCTCAATATAACATGTATAATTGAATGACAACACACTCCACATAACTCCTACTTTACTAACAAATAATTGGTAACATTACAACAGTTCTGGTGGTAATAAGAAGCGTAATGCATTAAGAAGGCAGGCTTCCTGGGTTCAGATCCTGGTTCTGTCACTTGTCAGTCATGTAGTCCTGGGCCAGTCACTGGCCAATCTCTGCTTCGATTCCTCAACTGTAAAAAGTGGGTTATGAAAAGAGTATCACCTCGAGTCAGCATCAGGAGGATTAGTGAAGCAGTAACAAAAGTATGGGCAAAGCACCTGGACGTAGTAATTACTACGTGGTTGGCACATAGTCATTACTTAACTGTTATCTACAATTTTAATATAATAAAAAATAACAATGACTGATGATAATATAAAGCATTATTAACTTTGGAGCATTTAATAAATGCCAAGCACTTATTAAAGTTGATGGTATCCTTACACTATGTTTAACCCTTAAAATAGTACTAAAAACATTATATTACAAAGAATGTAAGTCCTTAAAAAGATGCTAACTTATACATACCACAACAGTGGATAATTTCCCCCATGAAATATAACGAAGTGTGACTGGAATGTTTAAATGACCCTTTCATCCCCCTAAGCGATTACTGCTTCCAGGATAGTGATTAGTAAACACTAATGACAATATGAAAAGTACCTGCTAGTTAATCAGTTTTGCTCACTCATTAGCCCTACAAAGAACATACTCAAATTTTCAGTCTGGGAAAAATCACAATTTGCCAGTATCATGGACCTTTAGGATCACTTGCTGATAGTATTGAGAATGTTAAACCCCTAAAAGTTAAGACTATACTTAATATAGATATTTATGTTAAGGTCATCTCTTTATTACATTCAAAGTGTTCAACTTTTTCTTCAAAAACTCTGATATTAGTTTCTTTATTTTTCATCATAACTACAAACTTACTGCAAAAGTCTTAAGAACTTCTGTGTCAAATAACAATAATTATTACTTTGACCAGTACATGACTATCTCATACATATGTAAACACAGTATTTTTGTTACTTAATACACAACTGCTAGTGATAAAGGTTTTTAATGATAGCTTGAAAACCATGAACAAATTTTATAAATTAAAATTTAATAATGGTTTGTATATACTTTAGTTATGAAAAGCATTTCACATACTATATTAGTCTAAAGTCATAAAATTATAGCAATCACAATAAAGGCATTTTAATTATTTTGAAAATTGTGAACTTAAATTCAATATTACTGTATTCACTATGCTAAAAACAATGTTATTTTATCAATGTTAAAATGAAAACATTGAGCACAAAATACGCCTTGTGCTTCCATAGATTATCAAGGTCTCAAATAGACCTTTCAATGTTAAACAAATAAAGCTTTATTTTCAACCTTATACATACACCTTGATAGAAGAATACTGGACATGGTGTATTCTCTTGAGAGTCTGACATCTTATATGAAAGCCTTAATAAATTTAAGAGCTTTTGGTATTTCTCTAAGTTAAAGGTTAAGTTTTTAAATAGACTTATTTTTTTCCTCCTTGACCCTAGTCTTCCTTTCTACCTCCCCAATCCCTGCCTCTTCCCAGCCCTGGCCACATCTAACAGCACCAGCACACATGGCCCAAGGAAGCCATGCCCCCTTCAGAGACCCAGGACAGCACCGGCCATTGGAAGTGTCCAAGAACACGAAGAACACCTGAAAGCAGCTGGAAGAAGGTCTTGCTGGAGGCCTCAATGGCTCTCTTCTTCTCTACTGTCCAAAACACCCCTTGAAAGAGGAAAGCATGTTCTTCACCTTTCACCCAGAAACTACTTCCTCTGATGCACATGATGGACTGGGAATTAGGTCACCAGTCTGTTTTCTGTAACATTTCTGCACAGTTGAAAAAATGTGGCCACATGTCTTCAGTGACAGACATCTTCCAATGGAAAGATCCATTATTATGTGTTCCCATTCGGAGAAGATGAAACCAAACACAATGAAGTAATTTTGAGAAATGAGAGATGAGGCACGATGGTTAATTTTTTTCTCTGACATTTTTCCTGTAATTTCCAGGGATGACTTTTACCCTAAAAATGAATAGTTCATGTCAATACATAGAGGGATTAGTTTGTGAAACTGAGTTGTCTGAATGCAGGTCTATCCATTCCCAGCACAAATATCTAAGTACGAGCTGATCATTAGTTATTATGCCATGGTGAAAGATTCTGAGAGAAGGAAAAATCATTTTTTCATCGGGTGGAGAATGTTTAGCCAGGCTGTCCTTTGTCTAGTCCAAGGCTCAGGAGCTCTGCTCGCCTGGTTCCTGGAGGTTCTCTTCATGCTTCTCCAACTGGGGGAGGCGGCTCGCACAGCTTGTACAGCCTGGAGGGGGCATGAGATAGTGTGAGAGTGGCCTTACATACTGACGTTACTTGAGATGTTTTCATTAGTATCACAAACACATTAGTATAATAAACACACTGACAATAATTTACTGGTTTGGGAAGCATGACCATATTGCCTGTTTCACTAAAAATAGCATATGAATTAGCAAACTCCCAAATTTCGGTTCTATTATTTAGAAAACACCAATGTGCACATAAGTATGATGACCGATTGAGCAACGATGCCTTGTTTACACCAGCTGCTCTGCTCCAGTGCCCGTGAGATGATATTATTATGATAATGATCGTCATCATGTCTATCATGACTGTCTTTGTACCAAAATAACATCTACCTCATAGGGATCTACTGATTTTACGACCAATTTTAGAAGTTTGCTTCATTTGGAACCATCTGGTGGTACAGACAGTTGGCTGTGGAATGGCTGCCGGGGCAGAGTCCCGAGTACTGAACATCAAAGGTGCAATTAGCTGGTGTTCCCTAGGAAACATATGTCCAGTTTTGCCTTTCCTCCCTTCACCTGTCAATCGAATTAGGTGGAGATTCACGTGGGTCTAGGAATCCATCTGAACTGGGGGAGGTGCTGGGAGATGGGAAGGTCTTGTTGTTTGAGACCGTACAGCCTCGAGACCAAGTTGAGGGGACTGACCTCGGATTACAAAAGTTCTAGTGCTCCACATTCCCCTGAATGGTAGAATCCTAACTCCAGAACAAAGGAAAGGGGGACAGAGCTGCAACAGTGACGGCACAGGGCATACTCATGTTTGAAGGCATGGTCTGAGAGAACATTAGCTGGCCTAAGGTGGCTGGATGTTGGACTCCGCCTGTGGTCCTCAGCTGTGCCCATCTATGGCCACGCTGGTTCTCCTTCAGAGCTTAGTTGGATGGTGTAAAAAATAAGGTGTAGGTTTCTCCTTTGCTTCTTTTAAAAAGCACTGCAAACCCAGGGATAGCTGCGGCATTCACTCCCTTTTACAGATTAAACTGAACGCAGCTTCAATGAGCTGTTGACAAATTTAGCAAATTAACAATTTCTTCTCCCTTCAACACTTAATCCCATGCTAATTCTAAATCAAAGGGGAAGAATGAGGAGGATTTAACATTGAGGTAGAAACCTAGTTAACAAAATGAACTTTCCTAGCCTGGAAACACATGCAAGCAGTTATTGCCGTAGAGGTTTGTAAAATGTATTTCAAGTCTGGAGGGCGGTTACTGCTCCACGTGCCCTCTCCATGGAAGAAAATGAGTACGGAAATAAGGACATTGCATATCAGAACAGCTGATTTCATCTTTCCTGGGGAAAAGAAAACCTTAAAATGAGCTGATAGACTTCAAAGCTGCTTTTTTTCAGCGAAAAGACATGGTGTTGCTTCAAATTGCATTCCCAGGGCTGGAACAGCAGGTTGATCAGAAAGTTCTTTTCTCCCTGTACGCCTGTCCTCTCATTTCCCAACCGCACTGCCCCAGGAGTGAGAAGGCCCGGGGGCTGTGCTCCCGCCGAGCATACCCGGTGTTGGGTGGGCATGTCCCACCTGGTGAGTGCTGGGCTGAGCCACCACGTTCCATTACTTTGAACTGCAAGTTCCCACAGGATGTAAGTAATACCACTGGATAGGCAAGTCTTTGAAATGTCTGTCTGCCTTGCAAACTGGTGAACAGGCTATTGCCTGTGATCACCTAATGAAATAACAGCTCTGGGTACTGCAAAGCTGGGCAGATTCAGCTTCTGTGAGGCTTCTTGGAAGCGACTCAGGGTTCTTTGAGTTCAGACACATTTGTAATGGAAATTGTGGGGCTTTGGGAATTTAGGAAAGCAGATGAATTTGGAAATAAAATGTAATGGGTAAGAGTTGGACTTTTACTCTACACCAAGGCATTTGGTTTTTGGCAGCTAAATTGTTAGGTTATGGGAGGTCTTTGCCCAACACTTGGGGGCCCTTGCTTTTCTCATTCCACTCATGCACACCAGTGGCCCTGCACAAAAGTGGCCTGGCTCCACTTTCTTCTTTTCCTGTTGGGGCTGGTATTTCCAACCCAAACCTAAATCTGCAGAATAGGACTTTCAAGTTGCAGTCTATAGCAACTGTGTACATGGCAAAATACAAGTTGTGTTAAAGAAAACCACAAAGCAAATGCCTCTTCCAAGGCTAAAGTCCAATAACACTTGTCACAAAGCAATTTCCCCAACGTACAAACGAGAAAGCTATCTCAGAGGACAAATAACCTGACTAAATAAGGTCACGTACCAGGAGCTGAGACTTAAACCACCTTGTCACTTTTAACTACTATAGTATGCTGCCTCCCAATTATACAAATAAAGAAAAGTCAAGCTTTCCTTACACAGTCATTTATAGATTTTGTAATGCAATAGAAAAACAGACTCGTGTGCCATTCCAACTGAAATGTAATCTTTGGTTCTTGGTGAAGATACGCTTATTGCTCTGAAGAGCCAATGTATGAAAGGAGGGGGAAGAGCCCCATCCGTACTGCCCACAAGGACATCTCCACATGGATGCTCCCTTGGTCCTTAGTCTCAATAGTACCAGGCTGGGTTCATCATCTTTTCCCTATACGTGCTCTTTTTCCTGGATCTACTATCTCAATGACTACAATCATCTACCCCTTGTCATCCAAGCCAAAGAGTTGGTGGCCATTCTAGGATCTTCCTTTTCTCAACCTTCTTCATCCAATTAGTGTCCAAAGATTATTAATTCTGTCTACTAAATGCCTCTCTAATCTATCCTCTCATCTTCATCCTCAATAGTACAGTAATCTCCTTCCAAGCTCCTGCCTTCGGTCTTAGCTCTCCTCTGACGGATCCTCTTCATGTTGCCAGAGATAAATTCTAAGACTTCAATCTTCCAGATAGGAAGATTGTTTACTAATACATCCCTATTGTCTTCAAGTTAAAATCAAAACCCTTCAATATCTCATCCAAGTGTCTTCCTGTCCCAGCCCCTGCCTATGTCTCCAGCCACACTTTGCACCATTCTTAAAGCACATTCAACCAACAATCACAGGGATTTAGGTGTCAATCTCAGAATGTGATGTGTCCATAGGCACTGGTGTCACTGCATCAGCTGCAGAGGACATCTATTCCCATGCTGACTGGGAATACTATTTTTATTGTATTAAATTGTCACTCTACTGTGCACATCTGTGAATGGTGGAAGAGGCTGTATCCCTAGTTTTTAACAAAGCACCTGACACCTACAAATACATAGCTGAAATTCAATATAGATATGCTGAGTGAATTTTTAAAAATAAAAGAAAGTGAATGGTTTTAGGAAACTATGAAGAGATTGGTTGGACATTAGAACCAAATATTATCTCAGGCAGAGGTAGCAAACACTATCTCCATGAAGATATTTGCAGAAACATTACCCCAGATTTGCCTATAGATGCCCTGACCATAAGCGCCGAAGGTGTTCTTCATTCGATGTCTTTGGGGAAGGAATTCTGGTTCCCAGCTGGGAGGGAATCCCAGCCCCTCTATGGACCTTAGCACTCTCTCACCTTCTCCTTCTCCTTATAGTTACATTTTGCTCATCTCAGCTCTTTAACTGAAAGCTCCTTGAGAGATGAAACGATTTCTATCTCACATTTACCTTCTGCATAGTGGATAGCTGAGTGCTTTGTATTTCTTAGGTCCTCAATAAATATTTGTAGAGTGAATGAAAGAATAAATAATATAAAATATAAAAACTACTCTAGCTCTCTCTCTCTCTCAGGGCCATTATTCCCTTGTAAAAAAAATGTCAACTTTACAGCTGGCACATTTTATTGTGTTTCATTTCAAGTATTTTAAAACATAACCCAACACAGAAAAGAGTGAGTCCATCAGTTTCTTTTCTTGTGTTCAGCCTGCTATTGGTTTATTGATTTAGGAGGCTGAAGTCTTATCCTACTCTCACTGTTTATTATTGTTTATAAACTCTAGCTAAGAGAACCTTGCTTAGCTATTATGTCATTTTCTTATTGTAATTTTAACACTGCCCTGGGTCTATGATCCGAATGTACCATGTCTGCTCCTGGTGCTAGAGAGCGAATTCCTACAGGAATGATTCTTTAGCAAAGAAAGTCTTAGATTCTAATCTAATCAACCATGGAAGATAACATTAACAAGACGTGAGGATTAAATAGGTATAGGAGTCAGCACTAAAAATAAATGGAATTAGAACATGAGAGCTTCATCCATTTTCAGGGGAAAATATGTTTTGTTTTTTGAAAGTACTTTCACTGCCCACATAGTTTTCCAGAATGAAATGTAACTTCATAAACACTGCAATTATCACTCTAACTCTAGTAACTGCTTTGTACATAGAAATAAAGAGTGTCTTGACTGCAACAGTGCTTAGAAGAGCCTACTTTTTATTAAAATGCAAATGTATAGAAACAATCAAATGTAAAAGAAATTACTTAATTTTGTCCTACTTCAAGATGGATGGCCACCTATCCTAATGTCACCAGGGAAATCAAATTAACATTTCTTTGATGGCTGTTCCCATGTTCATTTATTTTAAAGGTGGATTAAAGTCCTTTCCTATGATGATATGTGAACTGTGAATATTTGGTTTGCTAACAAACAAAAAGCTCATTCATTCATTTATTCACACATTCTTGAAATCAGTTCAGATATTTGTACATAGGCACTATGAAGAGCAACAAACAAAATCGAAAAAACATATTCCCTGACTCCAAAGAATTCATTATTCATGTTGGGCAAAGAGACATGTAGCAATATATTATAACACAATCAAGGCTACAATCGATCAATATACAAGATGTTGACGAAGCATAAAGAGGAAGGAAACTCTACCAAGATTTCAAGGAGGAAACTATATCTAAGCTGGGTTTTGTGGTTAAATAGGAGTTTTTCATACAGACACAGATGAGAAAGGCAATCATGCCAGAGGGAACAAACAGCATGTGCAGTCAGAACAGTAGAAATGAAAATAGCATTTTGGTAGGTTGGCACAGCTGGAATATAAATTTTCACAGGAACTGTGTGGACTTTTGTCTTTGAGTTCATAATGAAACTTGTAAAATTTAAATAATGTCAAGACTTCACTTGTTACCTCTAAGCTTGCTTCAGCTAAAATTCCATTTCATCCTGAGAGCATTTATGCCTAGTCAGATTTAGCCACAAAATGTTTACAAGGCCAATTTCTATGACTATAGTCACTTCTACAGTGGGCATAGTCTAAAAGCAGTTGCATTAGCTGTGAGTGACACTGCCTGGGAGGGGGTGGAGAGCCCTTTGGGAAAGAGCAGACAGGGGAAGTCACTTACCTGGGAGCAGACTGCGGGGTCCGGTCTCTGACTCCCAAGTTCTTTGCTGTGTTCTGGACTCTTGCTCCCTGAAAAAAGTAACAGAAGGAATATGGCAAAAGTCTACCCCAGTGTCTCTAAAGAGAGGGCCAGGCTCCACAATCTCTCACAAAGAGGGAGAGCTCAATTTTTGTCTCTCACAAGCACTCGAAGAGATCATAAAACTTTGGAGCAGAGTAGCAAGCAGCAAAGGAAGGGTTAGGGTTCTAAATGTATTTATCCAAAAAATAAGAGGAAGACAGAGTGATAAATACAAAAAAAAACAAAAAAAAACAGTGCAAATGAAAAATCATTCGGGGTTTTATAAGGAGTTCATTAACTTTTTAGTCTTTTAAAATTGTATTTTACAGATATATAGTAACATGTATTAGAACAAATGTAATATGTATAGAATTCCAGTTAAATAAGTCATCAAGACCTACAAAATACTGTTTTTTTGTTTTCTATTTTCTTTATCCCATTTTCAGTTACAAGAAGTTAAAGGTTTTGAGTGCTTAAGTCTATATACTTAGAATGTATATGGCTCTAACTCATCATCACCCCCTCACTAGATTATTATAAAAAAGGTTAATATAGTCCACCATAAACCACAATTTTGAGATGGCTTCTGCAAGTCTGATTGCAAATTTAATCTAAAAGCAAGAGTGAGACAGAAAGGTCAGTCTCTTTCTGCATGTCTCAGCACCCAAATCCCACTCCAGATGTGACTAATCGCAAGTTTACCTTGACCTACTTTCTAAAACTGAATCTGTATTTCCATCCCAAAAAGTTCCTCCCGGTCCTGCTACCTTTGTAGCTCTATTTGCTCGTTTCCAGCAGAACCACAGTGTGTCACATGCTTCTCATGGGTCTAACCCTCATGTCACAAATCCCTCTTGGACCTTGTAAGACCTGGGTTTTCAGTTTGCAGGTCTGGGGCTCACAACCTGAAGCACCAATGTATGTGCCCCGCTGCACCTCAGGTCCGCACTGCAGACCCCAGGCCAGCGCTGGCCTCGCTTACGGCTGCCTCTGGGATTTTTTTTTAAACAAACTCACACAAATTTGTGTTTAAGAATTATACACTAAGTCTTTAGTAAATAAAGCAGTTATAATTACAAAAGCATATCTCAAAAATTAAGTCACTCACTGTCACTGGGCAATTCAAACCAAGTCGGTTAAGTAGAGCGATTGGTTAAATCAATTTTCTGTGGTAGCCCAAAGGAAAATATAAAATTGCTGTCTTTCAGCTTCTTTTGTCTCTCCACTCATTGTGTCTTTTCTACTAGATTAAGTGCATTTTCCTAGTAATCACTAAATTGGAGATTAGCGCATTTTTGCTGTCATCGTTTTAAAGGATTCTAAGCTTTAAAAACCAAGCCACGACACTTGAGCACTCTTGGATTATTGTAGAGAAGGTTCATTCTCTTTATAAGAGTCTATTCTCACCCACACGTACCTCAGAGACCTAAAGAGAGTCCCACGGCGGCTCTTCACCCTCTACATGAAAATCCGAGGCCTGTGCTTCATCCTCAGGACAGCACACGGCCTCAGTCTGGGTGCAAGCCCCTGCGAGGTCTCCAGGAGCACGCAGGCCCGTGGTTCTTTCCCCCTTTCCCACCCCGTTCCCCAGTCAGTCCCCCGCACTTCCCAGAAAGTGACATGTGGCTTCTCCTTTGCATAAGCCCCCGAGGCACCCCTGCTCACTGTGCCGGGCCCACCCCCTCTCCTCCTTGGGTGGCCTCTCAGCCATCCTGTACCAGGCTGGCTAAGCTTCCTGGAGCACCCCAGATAGACACCTGGGCTG